AACTGGGAGATGTGAAAACCATTGAAATTCAGTCAAACAAAAGTAAGGTAATCAAAAAACCCTTTATAACTTGTGTCACACATCACAAGCAGAATCATAAATAACAGAACCATAGCTCCTTGTCAAAACTAAAACTACCACAAGAGTTTATGAGATGGCAGCAACACTTTCAAGTTATAAAAAAGTATTATAATAACAATTTGTTGACACTAACATAGTTTCTGCTAGTTATGAATATATCCTTCATGAAGATGCATGCCTCAACACCAAAAAATTCCCTAATAGTCCTTGCTTTTCAAAGGTACACTTCTTCCACAAACATTCTATACCAGAATCTGTTGATGACCAGAGAACATTTATTCAACGATTAGCAAAGCTGGGGATCGACATGGAGGCATATTCAAATGCTTATCATCAGAATGACACAAAAAGGTATAATTTTCTTCATCACCCACACAGCAACCTGCCAAAGAATATAAATTTCTTTCCTCCACTCTGTTTCCTTTAAACGTAATGTAAATATCGCCTATGATATCCATAACTGAGTCATTAACTTTTTGCTGGTCAGTACATCCCATTTGCAAACTTTATATCATCCATACAATAAATACACATAATTGACATAATGGTCAATTGAAAAACATTTCTCATGGGAAAAAAATTCCCTCCTAGTGGTCTGCCCTTTTCCGACATGAAATAAAAAATTGTTCTTACACTAATTTTGTCTTGCATTAAAATATCCTTCCCATATAATTTCATTGTTGTTACTGATTACTGATATTCAAATCAAAGCCCCGAATATTCGACAAAAACAATCACTTACGTACCATTGTCATGCTCACTAAGGCCTTTTTTGTCTCCTTCCACAGCACAAAACACAGATGAATACAAGGAAAGAATCCCAACCACAACTTATGGAGCAATAGAATGCGATCCGAATAATAATTAAAGTGTTTGGTGCATTAAATCACGAATATGTTTTTGTTAGGGCTCTTTTTAACTATGTTTTTTAATTCGGACAATGTTGAATAGTGTTAAGTCAATAACTGACTTAAAATAATATGTAAATATTTAAAAACTCCCATTCTGGAATCCATACATTCCATGATATGATTTTTTTTAACAAGCACGAAAAAGACAACCAAAAGGAGTATTAGGCGTTGTGCAATATTAGAGGAACTGATATCGTTTTCAAATGTCGTTTGTGTTCATAGTTTCACGTATAGAAAAGTCATTTTACAAATACAGATTTGTTGCTTAAAGGACACAAAGAAATCAGTCTTTATTCATATTTACAATTCAACAAATGTGCAACTTGCATCCTTGATATTATGAAATGCCAGATCACAAGGAAAATTAATAGAACACATCAAATACTAAAATTGCTGTTTTGAAACAAGCATTGCGGTATTTCCAAATAAAAACGTAATAATCATGTCATATTTATGTCAATAAACTTCCTGCATAGTTGTAACTTTGTGTGGATGGAATTACTTCTAAATCAAGGACCCCTTCCATACAATGATGAAGAAGGGGGCCATTGCGATTTTTGTTTCGCCGCTTGTGACCCTTTTAAAGTTGATTTTTCAGTTTCTAAAACCGATCAGCTTTCTGTCAGGCGTGTGTGGCAGGTTTTGGAAAGACAAATGAAGTAAAAAAAACTTTTAGTTGATCGCTACAGAGAAACATAAACGAAGAAACTTATCTTGCATTTTGCAAACAATAACTCCATTTGTAGTGAGTAGGACTGAACACTAGTGGGACCCTTGCTAAAGGAGCCCAACAGTTTCATCCCAAGTGAAAAACCACATTTCTCTGGGTGTGTTATGCGGATGGAAAATGTTCTGTCACACTTGCCAGGAATGTCCACAAAAGTCAAATGATTCTTCTAGTTTTCTCAGTGGATGCTCCCATTTAAAGTTTACTCATTGGCTATCAGCTGATTTTACTGTTTCGTTTATTGGAAAGACTCTTATGGCTGTCGAATCAGCAAGAGATCTAGGAGTATACATAGATTTACACCTAACCTATGACACTCATATCTCTCACTTAGTCTCTTCTTGCTTGACTAAACTGGTTCAGATCAACCGCATGAAATATTGTTTTGATAGGAAGACTTTGGTTGTAATTATTACATCTCTTGTCTTTAGCAAAATGCTCTACTGTTCGACCGTGTGGTCTAATACCTCATCTAAGAACATTGAAAAGCTGCAACTTATTCAGAATTTCGCCTGCAAAATTATCTGCGGCGCTCGGAAATATGACCACGTGACGCCATTACTTGATGAACTCAACTGGCTTCCAGTTAGCAAGATGCTCAAATTCAGAGACGCTGTTATGGCTTATAAGTGTGCCAGCAATTTAGCTCCTGAATACCTATGTACTAAGTTTAAAAAACGATCTTCTGTACATAATCGCACAACCCGTAATAATGAGAAGTTCGAAATCCCATTATTCAGGTCTGCCACCGGCCAACGAACCTTCGCCTATAGAGCAGTATCCCTGTGGAACACGTTAGACGAAGACCTTAGAAACGCTACAACTGTAAAGGCCTTTAAGAAAGCCCTGAAACTTGTAATGAATGAATGATTGTATGACAGTTAGCATTTAACAATATTAGCTTGTTAGATATAGTTTGCATTTATATTTGTAAATAGGTACTGAAAAACCTTTTTTGGGAGTATTTATTAAAGTTTTATTATTATTATTTTATAACTGTCGGCCAGTAAATTTCAAACCTCGTTAGCCTAAGGACTAGTAATTTCAAAAGTTAAGGTTAAGCACTGTTAACCTCATTAACCTTTCTATTGTGCTATTCGACAAAAATAACATGTCTTAGTCATCAAACACATCTATCCAAATAATAAGTCAAAATAAGCGAATTTAAGCTACAATTTCATAACGGAAATAGTTTTACAATACCATTGTGCTAAAGCATAAAACAGGTTGGAAATAGCTCGGTTTCTATAGTTGTCAATTTTCTTTCCAAACAGATTTCTCTAAATGAAGTCAAAATATTCTAGAATGTACCCCTATTTTTATCACCATCAGATGCTATCAGCATTTCTATCCCCATCCAGCCATATTAAACTCACATACTTGAGTACACTGTCATATTTCAACTGAAGAATGATCTTCTACAGCTTCTCAATAGTAACAACTGTGCACTTTGGTTAGTTAGATAGATAAACTCATGCAACTTTTTTTCCATTCCTCATGAAAGCAAATGCTTTACAAACCCATAACAGCCAACCTGCCTTAAAATTTACCCCGGGCTAGTAGCAATAATGGGAACAACGAAATCACATGTGCAATCGAAATAGACAATTCACTTCAATTTTTTGAGGAAGCGGGAGGGGAAGGGGTATAAATTTGGACATTATTGAATGTTCAAAAAAGCAAGAAAATCCTTGTAAAGGGTCCGTCTCTCTTTTTTTATTATTTGTTATTAGTAACGTTTGTACGAACGAAAACCAACAAGCGTTACTTTTACTTTGTACCCAGTTCTCCTCAATTGAGTACTGAGGTTGATATTTAACAAGGTAAAATTGTTGCTCTGTTCATTCTTCTTCCCGGTAGAAGTTGCCTGTATTCCCCTTTTATTTTACCATTCTTGAATTTGACTAGGGGGTGTAGAGATTCTCACAGTACATTTTGTGTTGTTTGCTTGAGTTTTGTTTGTTTTTAAACTACCAAGTGAAGTTGAAGGAAAACTTCAACTCATCCTATTCACTGGAATAACTCTTTATTCACTTATATTGCGCAGATATCAATATGTTAATTTTCATCTGCATATCACAATAATTGTTCAAATTACAAATCAAATCAAATCAAATGTTGGTTTTTGGGGAGAGGGGAAAACCGGAATACCCAGAGAAAAACCTCTCGGAGAAAAAAGAAGAATCAACAAACTCAGCCCACTTATGATGCTGAGTCCGGGAATCAAACCCAGGCCACATTCGTGGAAGGTGAGTGCTCTCACCACTGCGCCAATCCTGCTCCGCACTCTGTTTGCAATTAGAGTAATTAAAATGATCGTCCCACATGTGGTTCCAAACAAACCCACTCCACAAAAAAAACCACAAGAAAACAAAACGCAAACACACTGCTGTACTACTTTCCATGCATTTCAGATTATGGATGATATCTATGACAGATTCTTCCACCTCTTACATAGTTTTGACCTGGTATGGTTTGATCCTGAAGCTTTTGCTGAGGCTGTTCACGAAAAAGGAGCTGCTCTTACTGGGTGTTGGGGTTTTATCGATGGGACCCCCCGACCAATAGCTTGTCCTGTCTGCAATCAACGAATTATGTTCAGTGGTCATAAGAGAACACACTGCTTAAAATTCCAGGTATATAAAAGTGTTAAACGAAAGAAAGCAAACTTCCTTGACTAGACAAAAATATCACAGCAAAGGAGTCTCCTGTGAAGGCACTCCAGGCAGTAATACAGGGGAGGGAGTTGGGTTCCCGTTCACTATAAGAAACCCATCTAATTATAATTAGAACATTATTTTTAAACTTGTATATACTTTTTATACATCTTTATTAGTGGGGGCAACCCTGGTATAGTGCATTAGCGCTTTTGGCTGTCTCTCTCTCCACAACTTCTTTATATTAGTAATTAATTTAATTTATTATCTATATGTAATTTGGTGGAGTGAATCTGTAATAAATAAATAACTAAAATAAAGCTTCTCTTGTTGTACTCTTTAAAGATCCGTAAAGGAGGCTAGATACCAAAGGAGGGTAAAAGATCTAATTCAATAAAGGTTGCTTTGGTAAAATCTAAAATTCACTACTTCCAAACCAAGTTCCTCAGGCCAAGCAAAAGGAACCTAACTTCAGTCAGGAAAGATATATAGGATGTTGTCATACAACTTTATACTTCATTTAAAAATATTTAAGTTTAATTTACTCTTTAACCTGTTCAAGCCCCAAATAGCATGATAGCCCATATGTTTAGTCCTATAGAGGGTCGCTGACATAATGCCTTCATGCTCAGGGTGAGCGGCCTGTCAGCTAAACAGTGTCAATTTGTTCAACCCAATGGAGAGGCATACGTTATTTATGGGGATCCTGCCTATGGCATTACACAGAACATTATTGCTCCATTCCGTCAAGCACACCTTACAGATGATGAGCAGGAATTTAATACAAGAATAAGCAAAGTTCAAACATGTGTGGAATGGGGTTTTAGCAAAATCTGCCAAAATTTTGCGTATTTAGACTTTAAAAAGAACTTAAAGATCCTTTTACAGCCCGTGGGTAAATATTATTTAGTTGCATGTATTCTTATCAATGGTCACGCCTGTTTATATGGGTCACAGACAACCACTTATTTTAGTTTAGAGCTGACATCCCTGGAAACATATCTATCCAACCCGTGACCATGTTTGCTTAGTCTTTCTACCTATAATTATTTTATTTATGTAAATAGCAACAGGAGTGAAATAAAACAATAGAATATGAATCTTTTATTTTCTTTTCCTTTAGTGAACACAAACTAAGTTTAAAGGGTGTCAATAAAGTAAAACAAAAGTATGAATATGAAGCAGAAGTAAGAGCTTAAGTTTCAAGAGCAACTAAAGACAAAATGATTTATTTTCTCAGTTGTTCTCGAAGCGTGGAGAACAAAAGCTTCCCTTCTTCAGCTTCATCTTCGTACTTTTGTTTCTGAAGATCCAGCTCCACCTTTTTCACTTCCAGCTCTTTGTCTTTCAGTTTTGCCTTCTCTTTGTACTTTTCTGACAGCATTTCAATTGCTGACTTTCTGCTTGACCCGGCAACTTTGCTTTTGGCTCCTGTAGAAATAAATTACAAAAGAAAGGAAAGAAAAAGTGTTGTATTTATTTATACATAAAAGAACAAGCAAAGCATCAAGCCCCCCTCTCCCCCCAGGCGTGGGGAAGGAGATGGAAATATGTAATCACAATGTGGCAGAAAACTGAGCAACCACATTAAAATTATGGATCTATTGAGTCCCCTAGATGAGCAGTCAAGCTCTTGAGGCAGACTCTCAAATATGTTTAAATAAAAATATATATATATGTATATATGTATGGATTTCATCACACAAACATTTTGTCCAATACGCCAAACATCAGTTCCCTTTAATGGCCCCCAGTAAAAGAGAAAATCAATTTCATATACTGTATTTATCGCAACCAATCAGTCAGAGAAGTTGGAATAGTAGTTTGTTAGATTTCACAAATGTTACCTTTTGAATGAATTTCTTCATCTGGCCTGCTGCTAGACACATCTCACGTGGTACCACCTGATGTGCCAGCATCACTACGGCGCTCTAAAATGTAAGCAATTTGTTATTCTGCATTTCATGGGTTCTATTCAAACTGGGTTAAAACTGAAAACTGTCAAGTCAAAAATTAGGCACTTAAATGATATGGTGCTCAATCACAACACCTCATGAACCACCAAGTAAAACAGGAACTTTCAGAAAATTGTGTAAAAACTGTAAAACAGCAAAATAAAAACAGTACAAAATGAATAACAGTCCTTATGGATATCGTCACTATAACCTATGCTTGTTTGGACAAAATAATATTGAATTGGATATTAACTTGCTAGTCTTTCCACCGCTGCCTGCCGCATCTCCTCCCCTTTCCTTTTATCTTCCTGCTCCCTTTTCTTTCTTGATTCCTTTTCTATCTTTCGCATCTCTATCATATCTCTTCTATACACTAAGATATCCTCACATAACTGCTGTATCTCAGTGAATTCTTCCTCTGTGCCTGATCTTCAAAATCATAAAAAATAATAATAACACTATAGTCACGTTGTAGCATGTTTGATCAGTGCAGTGAGAATAGGGACCTTAAGATCCAGGGCGGGAGAGAGAACGACGGCGCGCTAAGGGACGGTAAGGACTGGGCCTAGGTCCCCGTCTCACGCGATGGATAAATAGCTTAAGATTGTTGCCGACAGGGACGCCATTTTGCTTCCAGGATATTTTGGCCATTTTGGTTTATTCTACAGCATGTTAAACATTTCATATCGTGGATTAGGAAGCGTTTTTTTCTTACATCTTGGGTATTGGGGGCTTCAAAACATGACGTAAGTTTTAAGCTTATATGGCAGCCTAATTGGTCATCTAGCTGATGTCGTAGTAAAAAATTTTTCTTTTCCTCTAACTCTGTTGCTTGATTTGTTCAGCTTGTTATCTTATGTTTTGTGTGTAAAAATACGCGTTAAAATCAGTTTTAAGCATGCAAGAGATGCCTTGGTTCTATGTCATGACAACGGAGTGATAGGCGACGGAGAATTTTGCTTGCTATACGATGCAAATCGATCGAAAAATCCCGAATTTTCGTACGAAGAGTATGGAAAATTTGATCTTGAAGATATGGAGGACGATGAATGTAAAGCAGAATTTTGCTTCCATAAAGAAGACATCCCGGTGCAGGCAGAAGTCCTTGGTTTACCCGAAACTTTCACCTGCAGCCAGGATCCGTGACTAATGGCATTGAAGGGCTATGCATTATGCTGAAAAGATTTAGCTACCCCTGTAGGTACTCAGATTTAATTCCCCGTTTTGGTCACGCTGTTCCTGTGATGAGCATGATCTGTAACACAGTAGTTGACTTTGTTTACAACCTCCATGGCCATAGAATAACCGAGTACAATCACAACCTTCTTGATTCGGCTAGCCTTCAAGTCTATGCAGATGCAGTTTTTGCAAAAGGTGCCGCCCTGGATAATTGTTTTGGTTTTGTGGATGGCACGGTCAGGCCCATTTGTCGCCCCGGGGAAATGCAAAGAGATGTATACAATGGACACAAACCTGTACATGGACTAAAATTTCAGTCAGTTGCTCTACCAAATGGACTCATCGCAAATCTTTTTGGACCTGTAGGTTAGTGCATTATTTATTTTGGCTAATACCAAGGCAATGGGAAGGTAAAAACATGAGGCATATAGTGTTGGCTTTTTTCTTCAGACTGAACTCAAATGATTCTATTCATGTGACCTCTGTCACGAATTGTCAGAGTTCACATGCACATTTGTTTTGTAACTTACCGTACCTGTGAACAGATGTATATAGGGAGACAACATAAAACTTATATGTTAATTTATTAGTAGGTATTTCTACATAAATGAGTTGAGCCTCAAATAAGCACACATATCTATCAAGGTTAGAAAGGTTTTGGCTTTACATAGTATTACTATAACTGGTTTGAAGGAAGTATTAAATTTCAAGATTGTAAGCTCAACATCAACAATATTTCAAAACTCCACTATATCTCTTTTACAGAAGGGAGAAAACATGATGCATCAATGCTGGATGAGTCTGGTCTGTTGAATGAGCTCGAGAGGCATACATTTT